TTATTTGGGGCCAGGGAGATGGTTCAGTGGAATAAGCACTTCCCTGGCAAGTGCAAGGGTCTGAGTTCAATCCCCGGTTCTGCAAAAAAAAAAAAGAAAGAAAGAAAGAAAGAAAGAAAGAAAGAGAAAAAGAAAAAGAAAAAGAAAAACAGAAAGGTATAACACAATTAAAAGGAAAGTGAGAACTTAAGGATCAGACAACAGGAAGAGGGTAACTCAACATGTAGCCTGGGATGGCCTCGAGTTTACAACAATCCTCCTGCCTCAGCCTCCCAAGTGCTGGTATTATAGACATATGCCACCACTCCTAGCCTTGGAGTATCTAAAATTAAGTAGCCTGTTTTCTAATTTTACTGTTTGCTTTAATCAATTGGAAGATTAGTCTATCTTATTCACTTCTATGAATGCTGCAAGTCTACAAAGATTATGCAAAAATAAATACACTTAAAATTTGTATTTCTGAAAGTCATCTTCCTAAACATAAATAAGTAAATGCCAGTCACTGATTTCCAAACACTTAAAATATGTAGATTCCATTATACAAAGTTTAAAAATACAAAATTTGATATTGTGTGTAGGATTAAGAAACAAAAGGAAAACTACCTAAACAGGTTTTACTGAAATACTTTGAAATTAATCATCAAATTCTCAACTTATAACTACGCTGCCCAATTTTGCTTAAAAACGTCGATCTCTCTTGCCTGCCTCGCCGCTCCCCTAGACTCAAGGCTCCTCTTGTCTCCCACCTGGCAATACCTTCTGCGCTCTCAGGCTCTGTTGCTGCCTCACAGCTCTACCTCAGGCCCAAAGCTTCAAACAGCTGTACCATGACACAAACAACTCTTCCTGATTTTGCTGGGACTGGTTATCTACTGTCTCATATAAAGCAGGAATCTAAACCATTGCTCAGTATCTTGAACCATAAGTATCTCATACATAGGTAAGGAATTATCATGTAAGATTAAGTAGTATTCTTAATATAAGCTAGGTCCAGAAAATTGTATGAACATTATCAAGTGACACATAAAAAATAAAACAGCAATAATTCTAAAGTATCAAAAGATTCTGATATTTAAAAATGTATCTTTTCTAATATAAATACAAACTTCTAGAGAAAACAAATGTAAATTTCTAAATTATAAAATGCCAATGATTTAAGTCCCAATTCCAGTAAGATCATCAACAACAATGAGTATTTTAATCACTTTATACAAAAAGGCTATTAAATACAAAAGAAAAATAAACGACAGTTAAAGATCAACTTATTCTACATTTATAACTCAAAATGCCATATACACAAAACATAAAGTAATCCAGTTCAACATTCCATCATAAGCACAAATGTGAGCATGAGACGTAAGAACTAAGAAATGAAAGAGGAAAATGAAAGAAAAGGACAGATGAGCTCCCAGACAGCACAAGTAAAGTGACTCGGACATTCCTCCTAATCTGTACCACAAGTACATACAGAGAAGCAGAAATAAAAATAGAAACAAATATTTTGATGAAGAACCCAATCTTCTTCCCATCAAAAGATGCTGGTCTTGGCCGGGGAGATGGCTCAGTGGAATAAGCGTTTCCCTGGCAAGCGCAAGGGCCTGAGTTCAATCCCCAGTTCCACCAAAAAAAAAAAAAAAAAAAAAAAGGTGCTGGTCTTGCATTATATATGCAGTCAGGGCCAGAAAAGGGAAATTATTTTCTAGTGAGAGTCATAGATTTAAGCAGCCAGCCAGGAATTCTCCTTTCACATTTGGTATAGATATTCATGACCCTAGAATGACTTTTTAGTCAGTAATGGACACATATATAACATTGTGGTCCCAACAAATTACAGTGAGACCTTGGTTCACAAATGCTTTATGAAACAATTTCTTTCTCACACAAAAGCATTTGGCAAAAATCTTGCTTTTGTTTGCAAACTCTCCATCAAATGACATGTATACCACCATAAACATCTTTTCCACACAAACACCAACATGGCTATCTTTTCCAAAATCACATAAAATCAAGTGACACATAAAAAAAAAACAGCAATAATTCTAAAGTATCAAAAGATTCTGATATTTAAAATTGTATCTTTTCTAATATAAATACAAACTTCTAGAGAAAACAAATGTAAATTTCTAAGTTATGAACCATGGTACCAGCAAGTATGCACCAGCAAGTGACACTGCACCTACCTTAGCTTGTATAACTTTATCCAGCAATGTGTCTGTAACTACAGAACTGGGCCAGGGAGATAGCTCAGCAGCATTAGCACTTATCTAGCAAGTGCAAGGTCCCAAGATTGAATGTTGGCTACCAAATGCCATGTGGCGCTGGATCCCTGGGGGTGTGGGTGCATGCCTGTAATCCCAGCACTGGACAGACTATGACAGGAGGATCACTATGAAGCCAAACTGCATAGTGAGACCCAAACAAACATACAACTGCAGAACTGCCTAATCTTTCTCAGGATGTGTCCCTTAAGTAGCAACACTATCTAACTACATTTCTTTCAGCAGATCCACATTGTTTTAATTCATTAATACATTAACTTAATTAGTGAAAAAATACATATGCTAGTGATGATGAGAATAAAAACAATAAAACATTCAAGGGGGATAAGGCATTCTGAATGGGGAGTTTAAATAAAACAAATGCATTCCCAAATCTATACATTTCTTATACACAAGTGTCCAGAAACTATTAATAAAAAGCTAAACTAGAGAATTACCATCAGATAGTAGAATCAGTTCTAAAGATAGTACTTCTACAAACCAATATATAACTGGAAATTTCTGCCGAGTTCCAGGAACCCCCAGACCCAGTCCTAGCCCAGGTCCAGTGAGTGTGTGGAGAGCTTCCTGCTACCTTGCGCCAGCGGGACCTGTCCCAGCCCAGGAGCAGCATGGGAAGGACCCTCTCCCACCCCTTTGGGCCACCGCCCACCAATCCACAGCACCTCCCAACGCCACCTACCCAGTAGGAATTCGCGGTGTTCCAGGAACCCCCGGACGCAGTCTTAGCCCAGGTCCAGTGAGTGTGTGGGAGAGCTTCCTCTTCCCCCTACTTCACCTTGCCCCCTTAGGCACAGCTCAGGCCTGGCATACATGCCTGAGGTGTAACCCTGCAGCTGCAATCCCTGCAGAGAGTGTAGAGGATAGATCCACCCAGCTAGTCCAGGAGCAGAACATCTTGCCACAGGGGCACAACATATTCACCCTCAAGGGCAGCAGCGGGAAGGAGCTGAGCACAGCAGCCAGACGTAAGCCAGACGCAGCTGGATAAGTCCAAACTTTGTAGAGCTGCACCTGAACTTCAGTACGTGCGAAGGTTATAACTACAGCAAAGATCGACAAAAAAGTTCAGAAGACAGTGCTACACAAAATGACGAGAAGGAACAAAATGCAACCTCAGAACCCAAGCCCACCCATAACAAGTGCAGAGGATACTAACACAGAACAAATTGGAAATCACACAGCTGAAAGCAATGAATCAACGGCTTCTGAAATAAAACAGCTGCAGAAAGATATAGAAGACCTCAGATTGGAAATGCAAAAAGAAATCCCTGAATTAATAACA